GGATTAGTGTGGTACCTACGGGTCGTTGCGGTGCTGTTAGCAGAATAAGAAACTGGTGTGCAGAATAAGACTTAAGGGGTGTTATCATAATAGACCCACCCTATATATATATATATATATATATGCAGTTTTCTTATTCATCATTATTTGCACTGCGATCTAAGTTGTCCAGAAAACAGCATAGGTCATGTCAAATTATTTTGACACTCTTGCAGATTGCCCTGGCTAGTTTTCACAGCAACTGCACAAGCACGTTTTAGCTAGCTAGTTTTGAAAGTGAGCTAGTTCCAGTTGCAGTGCATGCTAGAGTGAATGAACCGATCGAGAGCAGGTAGCTAGCTCGTACTCCCTTCGTTCAGAATTACTTTTCACAAAAATTGATGTATCTACAACTACAATACATCTAGATACATTCATTTCTTGAACGAGTAATTCCGAACGGAGAGAGTACGTGTGTTGATTCCAAGTAAAATGCACAAAACAACAACTTTTGCGCCGTAGCTCTCGAAAAACCACTTTACAAAATGTGACACTTTGCACCACAACAAAATTTCAACAGTGGCAAAAAACACTGAACATCTCGTTTTGACGTGACCAATCGCACGCGCTGGCCGACAGTGGTGATGTTGCTGCCTCACCCATTCCGCGATGGGTATTATCTAGCACTACTAGAGAAAAGCTTACCAGTAGCGCTTGTTTTTGTGCTACCAGTAGCGCGGGTACTAGCGCTACTGCTACGGCGCTACAACTATTTTGTAGCAGTAGCGCGTTTCTGGACCAGCGCTACTGGTAAGTTCAACTACTAGTAGCACGTTTTTAGGCCAGCGCTACTACTAACATGTTTAAACAGATATATCTTTTATACAATAACAACTCATCATGAACTAGTCTGTTTAAATAGCATATTCATTACCAGTAGTCATCACCACCAAACAATGTTCGTCAATGAGACATCATATATATAACAAGTTGGTCACTAATCATAATCACAACTCCTCATCCTCCTCATCAACTCTAACACATTATAGCACATAATAACACATTCTACCTAGGACCTACTCCTCTCATAGGACCTACTCTACCCTCTCTTAGGTAAAATATCATAAAACAAGATAGGCATTGACTCTTCATTAAGGAAACTGAACTCTCCATAATGAAGAACAGAGATCACCCTGTCTCCAAGTCTTGGCCTACGCACAATGTTGCTTCCAAGTAGCTCTCTACGATCCACGCCGCCGCTCGCGCTAGCCCGTCCATCGATCCACGCCACCCGCCTCCGCCGCGTCTGCATGCCGGCCTTGTGGGTTGCCTTGCCGGCCTTGTCCTCTATAATGTTGGGCCGGCTACGTCAGGCCCGTCGGCTGCCTCGAGCTCGGGTGCCACTGCTCCGTTCGTCGCTCGGGCCTCGCTGCCCAGGCGCCGGCGCTACTTTGGCAGCCTGGGTGCCGGTGCTGATGAGCTCGTCCGCACGTCGTCCAACACTGTC